TGGAAGCACAGGAGATTGATAGAAAATCAGTTCAACATACTCCAGGAATAAAGACAGAATCTGCTAAAGTAAACAGGATCTCTGGGTACAAGAATGCTGTTACAGAGAGGCAGAGGGTGGGGGAGCCTTACCATAGCCATGAACAAACAGTCCTTTAGACATTACTCTCTGATTCTGTGTTCACCAACAACTTTTTGGTTACTAATTCAGCTTTCTAAAATGTACGTACAGAAAATTGGGAGACTGGTGCCCTGCACAAGAGAATAGTGTATAAATATCCACGTAGGATTCCCACAGGGTACATCAATGAACTGGCACTCTTTTATATACTGTTCTCTTGCAAGTGTCACTATTAATATGAACCAGCATCCTGGGTCACATTAATTCTAGGACACAGAAAACTCAAGTTTCCAGATGTCTTGTCCAGAGGACAAGACATTGAAAAATGGTATCTTTACCAGGTAGGAACATCAAGGTCAGATTTGTCTTGGTGACAGGACCGCTTTCTTCTGCAGCCCCATTTCTCCTTTATTTCAACCTGCTTTGAAATTTTAAAGAAACATACCCAGATTACTTTAAGACAGTGTGAGATGGGTGCCATAAGATCCTCAGTGACATAGGCAAAAGGATGGTTCAGAAAGAAGGATTATCACTTGCAGTGGATACAATCCAAGAAGGCTTCAGGGAGGAAAAGTTTTAGAATTTCCACAAAAAGAGGACACTATGGAAACACTGAACAACTAGAACAACAAAAGATGGAAATGAGGATGGAAGATAAAGAAAAAATGAGTCTACAAGACTGTATAAGGTTCTGCAGGAGAGGTGTTAGGTCAAGGTTAAAGAGAAAGACATTAATGATCAAACAAACCACAAGAAATGTTACTATTCAAATGTTCTTGGGCCTGATCAATAATCTCAATTTATGCATCTTTTCTTACTTACATTTGATTTCTAAAAAAGCAACTAAAGGAGATTAATTTCCACTTTTTATGGAATGTATAAGGCAATACTCCATACCACCAAAAGTAAAGCAGAGGCTAAATGTTTTTCAATTAAATTTCAATAAATTTTCCACTGTTAGAGATTAAATTGAGCGATCCATGACCTATATATATCTCTCACAAAGTCTATACTAGATGTCACTTTGAGAATAGCTTAGGAATAGATATTCAGAGGGCCTCCGCAAGTATAAAAAATAAACAAGCCATAATCAGAAGTGTCACTAAATCTAAAACAACTGATATAAATTTAATTAATTATTTTACTGTTAAAAATAAGAAAAATCAGGGAAAACTGATAAATGGTAATTTCTTCCAGGATGAACAATGTCTTTTTGTGATATGCTTTTCAATGGAAATTAGGAAAAAAATATTTCATCCCCCAAAAGGAATTTCAATTATACTTGCAACAAACTCAAAGAACATTCTATGTCAATTTTAGATTATCATCTTCATAGAACAGGGAAATCTGAGGGGTTTTTGTTCATTGCCATGTCACCAGTAACTAGAACAGTGCCTGGCATGTAATAGGTGGTCATTAACTATTTCATATGTGAGTAGATGTTCAATCTTTCTCTCCAATTGTGTTTCATATCCAAATCTATACAACCTTACCCCAACTAACCCAAGAGAATTCCAACTCTTCTGGTAACATATGTGAAAATGTAAAAGAACTATTAATTTAGGACTTTAGGGAAAGCCAGCCTCTTTCAATGAGAGCATTATTACATTATAAATAATTTTTAAATGTCTACATACTTGAGGTTTTTTCAATTTATTCCATAAATGGTAAATAAAAAGAAACAATGGGAAGGAAGGGAGAAGAGGAAGGAGGGAGGGAGCACAGACCAACATGTGGTTTTAAACAACTCAGCAAAGAGATTTTTCTACCTCTGGCATCATTAGCATAGTTTTTTTTTTTTAATATTTAACTTTGACAAAATAATCATATATTTTACCACATTTGTCAGCAGAATAAAAGGCTAAATAATTCTCATAAAAAACCTTTAAAAGTCCTACAATTACAACTGCTCTGAGAATATTTCTAGTAAGAATTTATTAAACATGTAGAGAGGAAGGCAAGATCAAGATGGCAGAGTAGGAAGACCTTCAGCTCACCTCCTCCCAAGGACACACGAAAACTACAACTACTTATAGAACAACTATCTCTGAGAATGACCTGAAGACTAGCAGAGTTGCTCTTCCACAATTAAGGATATAAAGAAAGAAAACCACACCAAGATAGGTACAAGGGGAAGAGAAGTAATTTAGTCAGAACCCAGAAGGTCAACCCCCAGCAGGTGACCCAAAAGAGAAAGGAGACGTCCTCCCTAAGGAGCAAGGGGTTCAGTCCCAACTTCGGGTACCCCAGCCCTGCAGACTGGCACCTGGAAGACAAGCCCCCTTAACTGGTTTTGAAAACCAGCAGGGCTTACAGCCAGGAGAGCTAGAGGGCTGTAGAAAACTGAGACTTTGCTCTTAAAGACTGGCAACACAAACTTACTCCAAGTCCCAGAACAGAGGCAGCAGAGTGACAAGTGCCTGACACCCTAGCTGTCCTGCCAAGACTGCCTCATCAGACCCCCCCAGCCCACACAAGCCTCCCTCTCCAGTCCCCCACCAAGGCGGCAATCCCTGGCACACCCCTGGAGAAGCCTTGGTTCATGCTGGGCTCCAACTCTAGCCCCTCTGGCTCCAGCTCCCTTGTCAAGGTGGTGGCCCTCTATGGGCCTTGGGCGAAGCCCCAGACCACACGGCTCCAGCTCCAGCACCCCTACCACCAAGGAGCAGCCCCCAGTACACCCCAGGAGAAGCCCAGGATCACTTCGGCTCCAGACCTTCCATAAAAGCCACTGGACATACATAGTCTGTATAAAGACACTCCTACACAAGGACACATCTTCAAGACATGGAGAGGTAACTGTTTCTCTTAATTCATGGAGACAAACACAGAAAGTCAAGCAAAATGATAAGACTGAGGACTCTGTTCCAAACAAAAGAACAAAATAAAACCCCAGGAAAAAGAAAACCACAAAACTTTAATGAAATGAAGGTAAGTAATTTACCTGATACAGAGCTTAAAGCAATGATCGTAAAAATGCTCACTGAACTTGGGAGAAGAACGGAAGAACACAATTAGAACTTCGAAAAAGAATTAGAAAATATAAAAGAGAAGGAATCAGAGGTGAAGAATACAATAACTGAAATGAAAAATACACTAGAGGTGATCAACTGCAGATGAGGTGATGCAGAAGGATACATAAGCAACCTGGAAAACAGAATAGCTGAAATCACTAAGTCAGAACAGGAAAAAGAAAAGAGAATGTTTACAAATGAGGAGAGCTTAAGAGACCTCTAAGATAACATCAAGCATAGTAACATTCACATTATAGAGGTGCCAGAAGGAGAGGAGAAAGAAAGGGGTAGAAAATGTATTTGATGACATAACGGCTGAAAATGTAACCTGCCGGAAGAAACAGACATCCAGGTCCAGGAAGCAAAGAAAATCCCAAACAAGATGAACCCAAAGAGATCCACACCAAGACATACCATAATTAAAACAGTAAAAGTTAAAGAGAGAGTTTTAAAGGCAGAAAAAAAAAAAAAATCAAGTCACATACAAGGGAAGCCCCATAAAGCTATCACCTGTTTTCTCGGCAGAAACATTGCAGGCCAGAAGGGAGTGGCATGATATATTTTATTTAAAGTGATGAGAGGAAAAACACCTACAACCAAGGATACTCATGTGGCAAAGTTATTCAGAATTGAAGGAGAGAGAAAGAGTTTCCCAGACAAGCAAAAACTAAGAAGAGGTTAACACCACTAAACCAGCCTTCCAAGAGATGTTAAAGGAACTTCTTTAGGGGAAAATGGAAAGGCCCTATAAAGGTAGGAAAATATATGAAAGGAAAAAACCTTACTGGTAAAGGAAAATATATAGTAAAGGCAGTGAATCAACCACTTAAAAAGCTAGTGGAAGGTTAAAAGTCAGAAAATCAACTGTAACTACAATAAACAGTTAAGGATACACAAAAAGATGTAAAATTTGACATCAAAAACATAAAACATGGTGGGGCGGAATAAAAAATGTAGAGATTTTAGACTGTGTTTAAACTTAACTATCAGCTTAAAGCTAATTAATTAATTGATTAATTAAAATACATTTTCTATTGATGCACAGACAAGATGAAAGAGAAACACAGACTGCAGTAACATTAAATATTTCCTTTGGATTATATAAAGTTATATGCTTTTAACACCAATTTTCTACCTTTCATTATTATTTAGGAAATTCTTCAAACGTGGCAACTTATTACAATTAGAACACAACTTCACTAATAAGAACAGAGTAAGACTGATACATATCTATTTCCAAATGTGTCCTCCATGTTTGATCTAATTTGCATAATTAAAATAGGAATTAAGCCGTTTTCTTTTTATGAAGTTCTCTCCTTTGGTTTTTAATATTTTCTGATACTTACGCCATCTGTGCTAGATAAAAGGCAACCTGGAAATGGTAGCTGCCTAGTTACACTTCACTCATGGTTACCACATCATTCATGACTACTACACAACTCTAAATTGATGGAGGCATCACAACTCTACCTCATGGAAAACAGCTGGAGATTTGAAACCCTTTATGTTTCCAAAGAAAAAATATCAGTAATAACTTTTTGCTGTGCCTTCTGCCAGTTTCATCCCCTAAATAACTGTTCCTTCAAAGAAAAAAGGACCCTCTGTCTGAGGGATGGGCTCAATTGCTACTGGAACAAGAATATTTTCAAGTTTGATAGGTATCCTGACTTTGAGGTCCCAATGAAGAGAAATGAATTCATAGAAATTTTTGTATGTAATTAAAGTGGTCATCTATATAACTTTACCTTATCTATATCCAAACTAGAGTTCATAAAACATCACAATCTTTATATTAAAATTTCATTAAGCAATTCTATGAAACAGAACTGAAGTACTTTGAATACAGCTTAAAAACAGCAAAGTCACCTCTACTTGTGCTGCCAAATGTACTCTCTCCTTGTCTTTTCGCTCCAAGCACCGCTTCACTTCCTCTAACTCAGATGCCATTGCACTGAAGTTCAGCTGCACTCTCCAATCTGACATCTGCTTCTCCAGATCCTCTTTTTCCCGCTCAACCCCTTAAAAGAGAAAATGTAAAGCTTGATGGTTGTTCGTTACTCACAGGATAATGTACTTTCGAATGGTATGTTTTAATATTCTACCTAATACAATCCACTTATTAACTGTCACTGTCACCCAACAGACTTCTCAGAATTTGTCATTCTATTGTTTCAAGTCTCACACAGTTTTCTAAAATATACACATTGCTGTGTCATCCAATACTATCACATTTTGATACTAAACTTAAAGTGTTATCTGATTTCTAGTACAAGTTATTTCAAGAAAATTCTATGCATTTTTTCTTTAATTTGCCTTACATTCCTATATTACCCCCAAACTCTAAAACAAAAATACTGAAAGAATTTTCAACTAAGCTTCTCCACCTAACTGAAGTTACTGAAGTTCACACAACAAAACACTTTTCTTGCAACGTAAACAAATGATGCTGCTAAATTTTGATTGTGTTATGACCTCTAATCTATTAATTCTGGAGACTACTACCTACAATTGTATCACTGAACAATATAAATTGGCTTAGTATTTATTTTTAGTTCAACATGAAATACTTGGTATATGATGAACAGGACACTGTTAACACCATCTTTTTCAAAGATAAATAACACAAAAATCCTTTTCTCAATGAGCTTGCACTCCAAGAATAGAAAGAAAACATAAAAATAAAGTACTTCCATGAATTTAAGATGTCAAAAATTGGAACATATATCATCAATTTAAAACTACTCTTTTTCTAGTAGCTTCCTTTCCAGAATAGGAAAGAAGGAAGGAAACACTAGCAAATCCAATTTATAGATCATGTGTAAGACACATGCTAACTTTAGAAATATTAAAATGTCAAAATTGTACATTTTGGATGAAAGATACATAGGTATTTTAATAGTGTGATAAGAGCACTTATAGATACTAGACAAACAGTTCTCTATATCTGTATAATTTCTGGATAATACATGGTTATTATACAAAAATAGTCCAAAGGATAGAATGATTAACTCTATCTTAATGAGAAACTGAGGTAGGAAGAACTGGTTACTATGGTAGTTCTAAAAAATAGATACAAAATTTCACCAAGCAAAGGAGATGAAGTTGGGGTGATATTTCAGGGAAAGGAAACAGCATAAAGCATAGAGGAACAATATTGGATTTCATATTCAGGTAACTGCACACACAGGAGTTCTACATAGCTAATACATATGAGGGAGGGAAACAGGAGAGTCAGCAGGGAGCTATGCATTGCCAGGGAGCTTAGAAATTAGCCTACAGACCAGGAGTTAACAAACATTTTCTGTAAAGGGTCAGATAGTAAATATTTCAGCTATATGGTCTCTGTCACAACTACTTATCTCTGATATTAAATTGCAAAAGTGACCTGGACAATGCATAAATGAATGGGAGGAGCTTTAGTCCAATGAAGTTTCTTTACAAAAACAGGGGGAGGTCTGGATTTGGCCCATGGGCCATACTCTGCCCACCCCTGCTAGGACTTCAACATGAAAATATGCATATTTTTTATGTGTAAATGTATTTGACAAATATACACATTCATTCATCTTATAAATACATTTTTTATTTTATAAATTTATATATGCATATGTGTGTGCATATATCTCTCTATAGTACCTATCTACATATAGACATAGACATGTTTCATGATATATATAACATTAGTGTATACATACGTATACAAATTAACATTAGTATGAATATATTATACAAATTATGGAGATAATACACATGAATATGTGTATAAACACATACATATATGTATATTTATAAAACACATATGTATTTGGTGTGATGACATAATACTTTGATATGTTTCATAATATAGATATAAAACATGAGTGTGGATATATATAAATATATAGATATACACACATATATACATATATAATGAAACATTTATCAAAATTAAAATACTTAAAACATAAAGTATAAAATATAGTGTTACAAACACTCCTCCCACACCCAGTGGGTTATATGCTCCATTTTAAAGAACTCTTGCCACAAACAATGATGGGTCAGTACAGGATAGCAGTTAAGAGTTCAAGTCTGGGTAGAAAAAAGACTTGGTCTGCTACTTCCAACAAATGTAACTTTAAGCAAGGCACTCAATTTCTTTGTTCTTTAGTCTTTTTTTTAAGTCATTAAAATGGAAGTAAGAATACTCCCCCCTCATAGAATAGTTTTAAGAACTAAAGGAGACAGTGTAAAATGAGTAGCATAATGCCCTGTAAGAACTCAATAAATTATAATGAGAGGTTTTAATCAAGAGAATAACATGAAAGGTTTGTGTCTTAGAAGGGTCCCTTTAGTAGCAGTACAGAAGACAGATCACAGACAAGCTATTCAACAGAGTAAGACAAGTTAAGAGGGTAACAGAGATGAGATGAAGCATGCCTAAACTGGGCTAGGGGGGATAAGAAAGAAGCAACTTCAAGAGATATCAGGATCTACAAATAGACAGGACAGTAGAGACTAATTAGATGGAGGTGAGAAGGAATAAGTTTGGATGTTCTTTGTATTTTAGGCTTATCTGGATAAAGAATGATACGATCAATTAAGATAGGAAATAAAAACAGGTTTTGAGGAAAGGATGAATTCAGTTGTAAATCGGCTGACTGAGCATTCTGGAAGGGCATATATTGATGCCCAATGAACAACTCCATCTGGAGGGTTGAAGGTTAGGAGAGTGAGATGAGCTAGATTTAGGGATCATCGTTTGTAGGTGATAGCTAAGGCATAAGATTAAATAACAACCCCTAGGGAGAGGTACTAAGTGAGAAAAACCATAAATAGGATTCTAGACAACAGAGGCATTTAAAAGGCAAACTGTAAACAAAAGGAAAAGATTCAAATACAAAGACTGAAAGCAATTAAGACAGAAGAACCAGGAAAGAGTAGGAACAATGAAGTCAGTGGAAGAGTTCTAAGAGGAAACAAACAGGAGTCAAGTAAGGCAAGTAATGGAAAGATTCCTTTGAATTTGACAGAGAAGACCACTAGTAAACTAAGCAAAGTCAATTTTAGAAGTAGAAGTGGAAGTCATTTTGCAGTTGGTAGAGGAACAAACAGCAAGCAGAGCGTGATGAGTGTAATTTCTTATGTAGAATTTTTAAAAATAATACAAGTATTCTATAAAGATGAAAACTCTAGAATTGTTAAAAGAAGGTGAAGAAGTCCACTGTCACAATGACAAGAGAACTTAAAGGGTTTTTTTTTTAACCTGGGAAGTAGTTAAAAAAAAGAGATTCTTCTAGTCCTCAAAGACACCAAAAATAACTAGATTTTATGAGACAACAAAACATATAGCAAATGTACCACAGGATCTTTTTCCAAACAAAATGAGAGTTCCTATGTGCATCTTTATGAAATTTTGATGAATAATCTAATACCTTATATTTTACTGTTAAAAATAAATTTTAAAGTATTTGATGTTAAAATATGATTAAATTACAACATCAAATGAAACTTAAGCGAACTTAATGGCATGCAAATATATTAGGATAGGTATGTCAAAATTTGCCATCCAGTGAAGATTTTCTGGCAATGTGGAAATTCTAACTTAGGCAACATATTGAGTTATGTGTAGGGAATCTGGGGAATTTGTAACATCAGATGCTTACAAGAGTTTCTACAGTAATTTAGGCATCTAAGAAGCGTTAATATTTAAATAGTCTGAAATAGTCTACCAGAAACCATTATAAAATTTCAGTATCACCATTTCTGTTAAACACAAACTTTCGAAAAGAAATACATCCAGAGTAATTAAATTCCACAGCCTAAATCAATACCTCCACTGAAAAAGCATTCTAACAGTTTTCAAACACAAAGTCTTCCTAATCAACATAAGAAAAAGCCAGTCATATTGTTCATAACCACTTCTACAATGTGATTAAATTTCGTCACCAATCTCCAAGTAACAAAAATATAGAATCTTAATTGTATGCATATATTGGGAAAAAAATGTGTGTGTGTGTGTACGAATCTGAAAACAATTCCACTACTGCCTTGCTGTCTCTTTCTAAAAGAAAGACTCATGAGATAAGCAGGTCTGACAACAGAAATGGGTTTAAAAATCAAGAAGAGAAGACATTAAAATTGGATGCTAATATCAGCAAAAAACAAGTGAAATTTGAAATTGAAGACAATACCATTTACATTAGCATCCACAAAAAATTAAATACTTAGGTATAAATCTAACAAAATATATATGATGAAAACTACCAAACTGTGATGAAAGAAATCAAAGATTAACAAAATAAATGGAGAGACATTCCATGTTCATGGACAGAAAGATTCAATACTGTCAAAATGTCAGTTCTTCCCAACTTCATCAATAGAAGCAAAGCAAGCGCAATCAAAATCCCAGCAAGTTATTTTTTGTATGACAACCTGATTCTAAAGTTACATGGAATGGCAAAGAATCCAGAATAGCCAGTGCAGTATTGAAGGAGAAGAAAAGAATTAGAGGACTGACACTATCCAACAAAACAGTGTGGTACTGGCAAAAAAGAAAAAAAATGGTCAGGTAGATACAAGGGACAGAATAGAGAGTCCAGAAGTAGGCTCACATAAAAACAGTCAACTGATCTTTGCCAAAGGAGCAAAGGCAATACAATGGAGAAAAGATAGTTTTTCAACAAATGGTGCTAGAACTGAAGACCTACATGCAAAAAAATGAATCTAGACACAGATCTTAAACCTTTCACAAAAATTAATTCAAAATAGATCACAGATTTAATGTAAAATGCAAAATTATAAAACTCTTAGAAGATAAGAGAATGATTTGGGGTTTGGTGATGGCTTTTTAGATGCAACACCAAAGTCACAGTCCATGAAAGAAAGAAATGACAAGCTGGACTTCATTAAAAATTTCGGCTCTGTGAAAGACATTGTCAAGAGAATGAAAAGACAAGCCACAGACTATGAGAAATTATTTGCAAAGACATATCTGATAAAGAACTGCTATCCAAAATATACAAAGGACTCTTAAAATTAACAATAAGAAAACAAACAAGAAACAAATAAGAATAAAACAATAAGAAAACCATACTAAGAAATGGGCCAAAGACTTTAATGAATATCTCACCAAAAAAAAATACACATATGGCAAATAAGTATATGAATAGTGCTCCACACCACATGTTAACAGGGAAATGCAAATTAAAACAACAATGATATGCCACTACAAACCTATCTGAATGGCCAAAATCCAGAACACTGACAACTTCAAATGTTGACAAGGATACAGAACAACGGGAAATCTCATTCACTGCTGGTAGAGGGAAAAATGATATAGCCATTCTGGAAGACAGTTTGGAAGATTCTTACAAAACTAAACGTACTCTTGCCATATAATCGAGCAATCACACTCTTTGGTATTTATCCAAAAGAGATGAAAACTTACATCCACACAAAAATCTGGACGCAGACATTTAATTTACAGCAGTTGTATTCATAATCGCCAAAACTCGGAAGCAACCAAGATGGGCTTCTGTATGTGAATGGATAAATAAACAGTGGTACATCCAACAATGAAATATTATGCAGTGCTTTAAAAAAAATTTTTTTTAAAAGAGCTACCAAGCCATGAAAAGCCATGGAGGAAACTTAGAGGCATATTACTAAGTAAAAGAAGCCAATATGAAAAGGCTACACACTGTATGATTCCAACCATACTAGGTTCCGGGAAAGGCAAAACTATGGAAACAATAAAAAGATCTGTACTTGCCAGAAGTTAGGGGAGAGAGGGAGGAATAGTGAAAAACAGAGGATTTTTAAGACAGTGAAACTACTCTATGATACTATAATGGTGGATACATGTCATTATGTTTGTCCAATCCTGTAGAGCACACAACAAGAGTGAACCCTAATGTAAAATACAGACTTCGGATGACAATGATGTGTCAATGTAGGGTTCATCAGTTATAACAAGTGTACCACTGTGGAGAGGGGTGTTGATGGTGGGGGAAGCTGTGACATGTGGGAGCAGGGGTACATGGGAAATCTCTGTACCTTCTGCTCAATAGTGCTATAAACATAAAATTTTAAAATTAAGTCTGTTTTTAAAAAACTGGATGCTAAATTATGATTAACTTGGAAAACCTTGTAGTAGATGAAGAAATAGGATGAAAAGAATATATAACATAAGGAAAGCGATTCTGAAAATGGGAAATATTTAAGAAAGATCAAAAAAGCCCCAGACATTTACAAATCAGAATTATACCTCTTCTAAACCTCCAGTCATCTTCTTGTTCGTCCTGATGGTTTGACTGTTGTTTGGAAGTCTGAGATACTTGATGTACTAAGCCTTTTTGATCACCTTCTGCTTTCATGAGCTGTGTACGGAGTTCTTCTACCTAAATACACATAGTCAAAAATGAAATTTTATCAGTTTTAAAAGCAGGAAAAGAATAACTGAACTTACAAATTATTTTTCTAGGGAAAAAAAATGTACTTCCAATGGGCTACTGTAAGCACAAGTTGAAGCCAAGTTAATCTCCTTGTTATGCCAAGCACAGTGGAACAGTCTCTTGCTCCATTTCTTTATTCCTCCCATTCCTTCCACAAACAATGAATGTTCTTTCCCCTTCTCTGTGTCTACTGTGACAAAGAATTTGACCACACTTTTTTTAAATCCCTATTTTCACCTCAGTCCACTCTACTGTTAATTAACCCAAACTACCTCCAATTAAGTACTATACATTTTTATATTTTTCACTTATTTTCTTTCATGTGAGCATAGTCTATTGGTTGGTAAAGTCAAATAAAATGATCACAATTTAGCACACTGTGATATCAAAGTACTGCTCAAAATAAATAAGCAATAAAAGCTGTTGAATAAACTATAAACTCCTTGAGGTAAGGTACCATTTTATTCTTCTTTGTATATCTGGAGACTAGCAAGCATGTCCACAACAACCTTTAAACAAGTCAGCAGTGGCAGAGACTCAGGTAAAGTCACAATGACAACTTTAACACATAAATCTCTTATTTCAAAAGATAAGATTAGAAATTACAAGGCAGAGTTCAAAAAAAAAAATCAGAAGGAAATGAATACAAATATAAACTTCCAAAAAAGAAACTCTAAACTCTGCCAACATTAATTCCATTGGACCACTGGCTGCAAAACAAAGCCATTACACATTTTTAAACATTTTGTAAAACAGGAGCTACGGTTTCAGATGCTTCAGGATTAACTTTCAAAACGTAATACTCCTTCTGAACGTCTAAGATGTCTGACAACTTTGCCTGCCTAGCATATTATGTAGTGAGTTATGTAAGCCACACCTCAAAACAGAGGAAGTTACAATTGCAATTTATATTAAACACAGGCAGAAAGGTAGTTAGAAACCCACATGCCTTTACCCAATGTGTATAAAATGGCTATTTCAAGTTACTGAACTTTAGATATCAGAAGCACCAAACTCCTATTATCGGCTAATGGGCTGCAAAATGTTATGCTTTAAAATTAAGCCTTATCTCTGGTTAAAAGGAAGCAGGGCAGGTAGCAGCTTGAAAATGTGAATATAAGACAGTGATGCATTCAAAGTAACTTGAACATGCAAGGTTTGTTTTATGTATTTTACTTCCGCCTACACTCTCTAACGTCTCCTTGAATAAAATTAAGCTCCTGGGAAAATCTTATCTTACACATCCAGTCTCACTTTTACACTGGTTGTGCTAAGAGAGATAATTCCTAAACTGGAAAAGCAATCAGCAAGATATGCTGTCACAGTGGGAACCTGGGCTGGTGTTTTATATTGGCTTTCTCTGAATCTTCCTGAAAGGATTTCATCTTTTGCTTATGTGTGTTAATATACATTCCTTAAGGAAAAATACTTCTAGATCTAAGGTTTTTTTCCCTTTCACAAAGACATTTAATAGGGAAAGAGACTCAATCCTGATTTAATTTAAAGCAGATTATCATAGCTTGCATAGACTTACCTGATGCAAAAGTGTTTCTCTGCTGCCTTCTGACTGATTCAATAACCTTCGAGATAGCTCCAATTCCTGTTCAAGCTAGAGTTTCAACAAAGAATAAGGAAAAATGTCCAATGGGGCAGAAAATAACTAAACTATTACAGGCTCAGTTTAAGAGGAGAAAAGTGAAAAAGTTTTCAGATTTTTACAGCTAACATAAAAGGAAAAATATCTTGCTCTAAACATATATCAATGCTCCCATTAAAATAATGGTAATTAAATAACAAAAAGTGAACCAGACCAGACTGCAGGAGGTCTTGGCTCTAGTCAGTTCCACCTCAATTATGACCCCCATTTAAATCTCTTTTTCTTAGGCCTCCTTTCTGTCACCTCTAAGTTAAGGATTTTATATTAGACAATCTGAGATCCCTTCAGTTCTAAATCATTTTAATGTAAATTCTGAAGCAGTTTTTTCTTTAAATTACTACATGTAGTATCATATGAACAAAATTAGAATAAAAATTTCAGGGACCCAATGACTCAAAGTATATTTCATCCAATTGGTTATTTTTTATATTCTTAATATTCTTATATTCCTAATATTTCCAATATTCCTAACATTTCTAAAAATTTTAATCAGAATAAGATATTTTAAATTTCCCTAATAATATTGCCATTAGATAAGTATCCACAGAAAATGTGCCAGTTAGGTGACTAAATACCCTACAAAGTCAACGTGCTTCGCTTACCTCAAGCTGAAAAATATAACAGGATGTGAAGGGGAGAAGAATATTCCACTTCAAAATATGCCTCTTGGCACAAGTATTATTCTGAGTTGATGGCAATCAAAACCCAACAGACTCAGGAAAAGCTTTTTACCTTCCCCTAAATTGCATTTAAAAACTTAAAAAGGAGGTCTGTGCCAGAAAGAGAGCTGTTACCAAAGATAACTTTCTATATCTGAAAGACCTCTTCACGGCAGGGCAAACATTTGTTTACCATACATATACTCTTCTCATCTTCCTGTGAACTGTGTTCCTCCCCTTTGAAGCCCCAAGCCCCTATTCCTTGCCTTAGTTCAGGATGGTAGATAAGCATCAACTGCCTGGCTGTCTTTGAGTCTCATATTTTTATGGGGCTCCCATACATACAAAATAAACTTGTTTTTCTCCTGTTAATCTGTTTTATGTCAATTTAATTATTATACCAGCCAAAGAACCTAGAAGGGTAAAGGGAAAATTATTTTTCCTCCCCTACAGATGGGACACTTTTGTTAAAAATCCACAGCTTACATATGATGGACATGTTTGCACTCTGTAAGGGTAAGGTTGTTTTGTGAAATCACAAATTTATATTAAGATGTTATTAAGTGCTTTGATTTGTAACAGTTATCCTAAATTATCATTTCATTTGAACAAACTACTATCTATACATTAGTCTTTCAGAAATTGTTCATGTGGAAGGTGTGACTATTGAGGAGTAGCATGAGGGAACACTGTGGTGATGGAACAGTTCTGTATTTTGACTATCGCGGCAATAAGATTGAGACTCATGAGATAAAACTGCATAGAAGTACACACACACAAACACACACTTAACACACAAATGAGTATACACATAAAGCTGGTGAAATCTGCATAAGCTCTGTACATTGCAACAGTGTCAATTTCCAGGTTTTGATGTTGGATGGCAATTATAGAAAATGTTATCACTGAGAATAACTGGCCCATGGTACATTTTTGTTTTGCAACACCTATGAATCTATTATTATTTCAAAATAATTTTTTCATACAGTTATATAAGTTTTTTAAAAGTGTACAGCAGCTCATAAAATAACCATCACATATTTTTAAAAGTACAGTTGACCCTTGAACAACATGGGTTTGAACCACACAAGTCCACTTATACACGGATTTTTTTTCACTCGTAAATACTACAGTACTATAGGATTGAATTCACATATGTGAAACCATGGCTAGAGAGAAACTGCAAATACGGAGAGCTGACTACATGTTATACTCGGATTTTTGACTGCACAGAGGGTCAGGGCACCTAAGCCCCCATTGTTCAAGGGCCAACTGTAAGTCAACTATAAAGTACATGTGGAAGCAGAGAATCCACACAAAATATTACCTGACCTGTTCTCTTGTTTCTATAAATAAATAAAAAGGGAAGAAATCGCACTGAAGTCAACATGGTTTCAAAATCTACCAGGGTCCATACGGGTCATGTTTCCTGGGTAATATCAGCATCTACAACTCCCAAAGAGCAAACGTGATGACCTGATGTACCTTGCTTACCACCGTAAAGACAGCAGGGACGCATCATGCAACTTTACATAGGTTGGTGAAATAAAATAAAGGAGGTAAGGGTAAATAGAAAAGGCAATACAGAGTAAAGAACATTATATCAGAAGCAAAATTTCACTTTATCATTCATTACCTTGGGCTTGGCCTTTAATCTACTCATTTGCAAACTGAAGAGAGTTGTTTGGCCTCTGAGCTACTTTCTAGCTCTAAAATGCTACGCTCTATAGCCTCACAGACATGAATTCATATCAAAGATACTTAATATTTAATGAGAATAGAGGATTTTTCGGAACTAGGCTGGTAACTGTTCCTATCTTCTATAACAAAAATGAGTAGATACAAAATATTCAACCTTTAAAAAACAGGTCTTTCCCAACCCTACAGTAAAGTCAACCTCTTTAAATGTTCTCCAGCAAAGAATGGTCAAGTTTAATTCACCTCTAGAAAAGGAGAGCGGCCAGGAGACAAGGTAGCGAATTACCTGTGTATGTTTCCAAGAGCAAGTAGCAGAGAGTGGCAGAGCCCTCAAGCCAAGTGACTCCACATCAAAACATAAAGGCTTCACTGCACTCTAACAAAAAACCTCAGGGACACTTTCCAAGGTACTCAATGAATATCACTGGCCCCAAACAGCATTACACTTGAAAAGTTAATTTTCAAAGGGGAGACAGCAGAAGCAAGAAGAACTACAATTCTGACCCTGTGGAAGGAAAACCACATTCACAGAAAGATAGACAAGATGAAAAGGCAGAGTACTTTGTACCAGATGAAGGAACAAGATAAAACCCCAGAAAAACAACTAAATGAAGTGGAGAAAAGCAACCTTCCAGAAAAAGTATTCAGAATACTGAGAGTGAAGATGATCCAGGACCTCAGAAAAAGAATGGAGGCAAAGATCAAGAAGATGCAAGAAATGTTTAACAAAGATCTAGAAGAATTAAAGAACAATCAAACAGGGATGAACAACACAATAACTGAAATGAAAACTACAATAGAAGGAATCAATAGCAGTATAACTGAGGCAGAAGAACGGATAAGTGACCTGGAAGACAGAATGGTAGAATTCACTGCCACAGAACAGAATAAAGAAAAAAGAATGAAAAGAAATGCAGACAGCCTAAGAGACCTCTGGGACAACATTAAATGCAACAACATTCGCATTATAGGGGTCCCAGAAGGAGAAGAGAGACACAGAAAGGACCTGAGAAAATATTTGAAGAGATTATGGTCGAACACTTCCCTAACATGGGAAAGGAAATAGCCACCCAAGTCCAGGGAGCACAGAGAGTCCCAGGTAGGATAAATCCAAGAATAAACATGCCAAGACACATAGTAATCAAATTGGTAAAAATTAAAGACAAAGAAAAATTACTGAAAGCAACAAGGGAAAAATGGCAACATACAACGGAACTCCCATAAGGTTAACAGCTGATTTCTCAGCAGAAACTCTACAAGCCCGAAGGGAGTGGCATGATATATTTACAGTGAAGAAAGGGAAGAACCTACAACCAAGATTACTCTACCCAGCAAGGATCTCATTCAGATTCGACAGAGAAATCAAAAGCTTTACAGACAAGCAAAAGCTAAGAGAATTCAGCACCACCAAACCAGCTCTACAACACATGCTAAAGGAACTTCTCTAAGTGGGAAAAACAAGAGAAGAAAAGGACCTACAAAAACAAACCCATAACAATTAAGAAAATGGTAATAGGAACATACATATCAATAATTACCTTAAACGTGAATGGATTAAATGCTCCAACCAAAAGACACAGGCTCACTGAAAGGATACAAAAACAAGACCCATATATATGCTGTCTACAGGAGACCCACTTCAGACCTAGGGACACATACAGAATGAAAGTGAGGGGACGGAAAAAGATATTCCATGCAAATGGAAATCAAAAGAAAGCTGGAGTAGCAATAATCATATCAGATAAAATAGACTTTAAAATAAAGAATGTTACAAGAGACAAGGAAGGACACTACATAATGATCAAGGGATCAATCCAAGAAGAAGATATAATAATTATAAATATATATGCACCCAGCATAGGAGCACCTCAATACATAAGGCAACTGCTAACAGCTCTAAGAGAGGAAATCGACAGTAACACAATAACAGTGGAGGACTTTAACACCTCACTTACACCGATGGACAGGTCAACCAGACAGAAAATTCATAAGGAAACACAAGCTTTAAATGACACAATAGACCTGATAAATTTAATTGATATTTATAGGACATTCCATCCAAAAACAACAGAATACACTTTCTTCTCAAGTGCGCATGGAACATCCTCCAGAATAGATCACATCTTGGGTCACAAATCAAACCTCAATAAATGTAAGAAAACTGAAATCATATCAAGCATCTTTTAGAACCACAACACTATGAGATTAGAAATCAATTACAGGGGGAAGAAAGTAAAAAACACAAACACATGGAGGCTAAACAGTATGATACTAAATAACCAAGAGATCACTGAAGAAAGCAAAGAGGAAATCGAAAACTACCTAGAGACAAATTACAACGAAAACACGACGATCCAAAACCTATGGGATGCAGCAAAAGCAGTTCTAAGAGGGAAGTATACACCTATACAAGCCTACCTCAAGAGACAAGAAACATCTCAAATAAATAATCTAACCTTACACCTAAAGGAACTAGAGAAAGACGAACAAACAAAACCCAAAGTTAGTAGAAGGAAAGAAATCATAAAGATCACAGCAGAAATAAATGAAATAGGAACAAAGAAAACAATAGCAAAGATCAATAAAACTAAAAGCTGGTTTTTTTAGAAGATAAACAACATTGATAAACCTTTAGCCAGACTCATCAAGAAAAAGAGGGAGAGGACTCAAATCAGTAAAATGAGACATGAAAAAGGAGAAGTTACAACAAACACTGCAGAAATACAAAGCATCATAAGAGACTACTCCAAGCAACTCTATGCCAAAAAAATGAACAACCTGGAAGAAATGGACAAATTCTTAGAAAGGTATAACCTTGCAAGACTGAACCAGGAAGAAATAGAAAACATGAACAGACCAATCACAAGTAATGAAATTGAAACTGTGATTAAAAATCTTCCAACAAACAAAAGTGCAGGACCAGATGATTTCACAGGTGAATTCCATGAAACATTTAGAGAACAGCTAACGCCCATCCTTCTCAAACTCTTCCAAAAAATTTCAGAGGAAGGAATGCTCCCAAACTCATTCTATGAGGCCACCACCACCCTAATACCAAAACCAGACAAAGATACTACAAAAAAATAAAGTTACAGGCCAATATCACTGATGAACATCGAAGCAAAAATCCTCAACAAAATACTAACAAACACACTGAAAGATCATACACCATGATCAAGTGGAATATATCCCAGGGATGCAAGGATTCTTCAATACACACAAATCAATCAACGTGATACACCATATTAAAAAATTGAAGAATAAAAACGATATGATCATCTCAACAGATTCAGAAAAAGCTTTTGACAAAATTCAACACCCATTTATGATAAAAACTCTCCAGAAGGTGGGCACAGAGGGAACCTACCTCAACATAATAAATGCCATATATGACAAACCCATAGCAAACATCATCTTCAATGGTGAAAAACTGAAAGCACTTCCTCTAAGATCAGGAAAAAGATAACGATGTCCACTCTCACCACTATTATTTAATATAGTTTTGGAAGTCCTGGCCACCACAGCAATCAGAGAAGAAAAAGAAATAAAAGGAATCCAAATGGGAAAAGAAGAAGTAAAACTGTCACTGTTTGCAGATGACATGATACTATACATAGAGAATCCTAAAGATGCCACCAGAAAACTACTATAGCTAACCAATGAATTTGGTAAAGTTGCAGGATACAAAATTAATGCACAGAAATCTCTTGCATTCCTATACACTAACAAGGAAAGATCAGAAATAGAAATTAACGAAACAATCCCATTCACCATTGCAACAAAAAGAATAAAATACCTAGGAATAAACCTACTAAAGGAGGTAAAAGACCTGTATTCGGAAAACTATAAGACACTGATGAAATAAATCAAAGATGACACAAACAGATAGAGAGATATACCATGTTCTTGAATTGGAAGAATCAATATTGTGACAATGACTATACTACCCAAAGCAATCTACAGTTTCAATGTAATCCCTATCAACTTACCAGTGTCATTTTTTACAAAACTAGAACAAAAAATCTTAAAATTTGTTTGGAGACACAAAAGACCCCGAATAGCCAAAGCAGTCTTGAAGGAAAAAAACGGAGCTGGAGGAGTCATACTCCCTGACTTCACTATACCACCAAGCTACAGTAGTCAAGAGAATATGGTACTGGCAGAAAAACAGAAATATATTTCAGTGGAACAGGATAGAAAGCCCAGAGATAAACCCACACACCTGTGGTCAACTAATCTATGACAAAGGAGGAAAAGATATACAATGGAGAAAAAACAGTCTCTTCAATAAGTGGTGCTGGGAAAACTGGACAGCTACATGTAAAAGAATGAAATTAGAACATTCCCTAACACCATACACAAAAATAAACTCAAAATGGATTAAAGACCTAAATGTAAGACCGGACACTATAAAACTCTTAGCGGAAACCATAGGAAGAACACTCTCTGACATAAATCACAGCAAGATCTTTTTTGATCTACTTCCTAGAGTAATGGAAATAAAAACAAAAATAAACAAATGGGACCTAATGAAACTTAAAAGCTTTTGCACAGCAAAGGAAACTACAAACAAGATGAAAAGACAAACCTCAGAATGGGAGAAAATATTTGCAAATGAAGCAATGGACAAAGGATTCACCTCCAAAATACATAAACAGCTCATGCAGCTCAATATTAAAAAAACAAACAACCCAATCAAAAAATGGGCAGAAGACCTAAATAGACAGTTCTCCAAAGAAGACACACAGACGGCCAAGAAGCACATGAAAAGCTGCTCAACATCACTAATTATTAGAGAAATGCAAATCAAAACTACAATGAGGTATCACCCCACATCAGTTACAATGGGCATCATAGAAAATCTACAAACAACAAATGCTGGAGAGGGTGTGGAGAAAAGGGGACCCTCTTGCACTGTTGGTGGGAATGTAAATTGATACAGCCACTATGGAGAACAGTATGGAGGTTTCTTAAAATTAACTAAAAATAAAATTACCAAATGATCCAGTAATCCCACTACTGGGCATATATACCCAGAGAAAACCATAATTCAAAAAGACACATGCACCACAGTGTTTGTTGCAGCACTGTTTACGATTGCCAGGTCATGGAAGCAACCTAAATGCCCATCGACAGACGAATGGATAAAGAAGATGTGGTACATATATACAATGGAATATTATTCATCCACAAAAAGGAACAAAATTGGGTCATTTGTAGAGACGTGGATGGATCTAGAGACTGTCATACAGAGTGAAGTAAGTCAGAAAAACAAATATATATTAACGCATATATGTGGAACGTAGAAAAATGGTACAGATGAACCAGTTTGCAGGGCAGAAATTGAGACACAGATGTAGAGAACAAACGTATGGACACCAAGGGGATAATGGCAGGGGTGGTGGTTGTGGTGGGATGAATTGGGAGATTGGGATTGACATATATACGCCAATATGTATTAAATAGATAAGTAATACGAAACTGCTGTATAAAAAGATAAATTAAATAAAATTCAAAACTTTAAACAAAATGTTAATTTTCAAAATCTTACTTTACTCTTTTCAGTTTCACTTTGTCTTAGCTTATTTTTCACTACTCCCTCATTCTCCTCTGCTTTAGCTTCTTGTTTCTTCAATGCCTAGAAAGAAAGACGTGGGAAAATCAGTATTATTCCAAAATACATATAAAACTGAAAGATATTACTAGGATCTATTAAGAAAAGGCTGAGGAAGATGATTATGAATTGTACAAAATATACACAGGAATTACAACCTGCTCATTCACTGAAGTCATAAGATCATTTCATTGGGGCTCAAATATGAACAACTTCCCGATCTACCTAATCAAGTTCCACTTAGTTTCACTTTTTCCCATCTTTAGGAATTCTGTAACACATTTAGAGAGCTTAGACAGCTAACAGTTTTCTTGGAAACAAACAAATTTTACCTGCCGAAATAATAGTATTTAAAAGTTATATTATCAGCTCAACAATTTTGACATAATACCTAAAACCAGTTCACTAGTTTTTCAAATTCTGAAAAAATATCAAGGTAGAAACATGCTTGCTGCATCATTATCACATACATGACATTTTATCACAACATATAACTTGCTCTTCAACCATACTTTCACATAGAGCAAAGAAAAGCATTCTTTTCTACATTTTTCTCTCTTTAATAAATTGGAAAAAAAGGAACTTTAAGATAATACAAATTTCAAAAGTTAACCACATAAGTGTTTGTTTCTATGTTAAAACAAAATTAAACTTAAGGAAAAAAATTTATATTAAGAGCAATCTTTCATAACATCTAAAAGACATTCCATTTGTTTAAAAAAAAATTCGACACTTAGCATTTAGACTTAAAAAGGTGTATGTGTAGAGGCCATCTAAGTTGAGAAAAGCCAAATTTCCAGAAGTCTTTTCCAACAAGTTCTATGATGCTCAATAGAAAAACTATTTTTAGGCAAACAGCAAAACATGTTAAAACTGTTTTGATGCAAGTATAATCAATCATATTCCAATTTCATTAACTCACATATCCAACATATATCTCCAAAGTGCATATATATGCATATATAAAATAACAATGTCCCCCCTACCCATGAGATTACAGCTCCCTCTGCATGGCTCCTGCTCTCACTAATAAAAAACAATTGACTAAAAACGCGGAGAGACACCATCAAATAAAAATAATTTTGATTTGAGTATAAATAATATAGTGTTTACTATGTCCGGGCATTCTTCTTCTTCTTACATATATTAACTAAACACATTACATATATTGAATATATACATTTAATCTTTATGATGGTTCCATGAGTTACTATTAAGTCCATTTTTTTTTTTTTTTTTTTTTTTTGCGGTACGCAGGCCGCTCACTGTTGTGGCCTCTCCCGTTGGGGAGCACAGGCTCCGGACGCGCAGGTTCAGTGGCCATGGCTCACGGGCCTAGCCACTCCGCGGCATGTGGGATCTTCCCAGACCGGGGCACGAACCCGTGTCCCCTGCATCGGCAGGTGTACTCTCAATCACTGCGCCACCAGGGAAGCCCATTAAGTCCATTTTATTAAGAGGGAAGTTGGGGCTACAAGGAGTTGAATAACTTGCCCAAGGTCATTCACCAAGGTCGTGAGAGAGTCAGGACATAGACTCAGGCTGTGTGCCTCTTAACCATTGAATGGCACTGCCTCTCCACGTTGAAACAATATCAAGCTTATAGGGTGGATATGAAGACTAAATAATTTTATACTTGTAAGGCATTAAAATATACAATAAAAGACAACTATTACGATTACTAAATTGTTAACAATTGATAAAGTATTACAAAACATAATGCTTTTCAGGTAGCTATCAAATGATTTTGATGTTTATTATTTGTTCTTTACTGTAGCCTAAGTGGAATTTGTAATAATATTTACTTAAGTATGTATAATCTATTCAGTTTTGGCTGGTGGGATGTGTTTATAAATTTTTCCTGAACGAAATTATCCTAGAAACTTGAAAATTACTGCTGGCATCTTCATTTTTCCCATGCTTCCTCGGTCTAACTCCACCTAATATGTGTGTGTGTGTGTTTCTGTGACAGAGAGGGAGAGGAAGAGGGAGAGGGAAGGAGGGAGAAATATTTTTTGAAAAGATATGAATTGTTGCTGTACTTTTCATCAATTCATTTTACAATATTTGAACTATCTTATTCCTCAACATCATCATTCAACCTATAGCCCCGTCACCTGTTTTTCTTTAATGAGTTACACTTAACTGGTTATCTTTTCAATGTTTTTTTGCCAGTTATGTCATACACCTTTTATTGCCAAGTATATTCTTCATATCAAATATATATTTGCAGGTTCTCTAAAACTTAATCTAGTGCTGGTCTAGAAGTAAGTTACTGTAGAAAGCATGCTGCTGTTTTTTAAACAAACAAAATACTATTTTTTCAAGGTTCATGGATTCAGTCAATATTTTTTCATTGAACTAAAAACCAGCCTGGGTTTTTCCACAGAGAGGAGATTATGAGGAAGACTTCCTCAGGCAGTTGATAAGTTTCATCAAACTGTAAATAGTCAGCCTCCCATTCTGGATTCAAACTCCTGGGCAGAAGCCACTCCAAATGAGTATGCAGTGAAGGCTCACCCAAACCCGGTGACATCACTTAAGGCCATAAGCAACTTCAAACAAGATGGGCTTGTCCCAAATATAAGAGCCATTCACTTCCAAAGCCAAATTCAAAATCTACCTTGGAAGACTCTGCAACCTTCAAACAGTAGCTGCTAAGATCCTTCCAGTGTGATTCTGTACATCTCTTCATGTTCCAAGTTGTTTCCACCTGTGTCCTCTGCTTACTGAGGTACGAGAAACAGAAGGAGTCACCTGCTAAGGTTTTAAAACTTGACTTAACTGCATGCTGCAACTCTAGGAGTTTAACTTGCTAAGAATTTAAACCCCAAAAATTCTCCAGTGAAGAAATTTTTCCATTTTACTAACTGGAATTAATCCATTTCTGTCCCTTTCTCATGAGTTCCAAAACTTACATTTTAAAAATCCTATTACATTTTACGTCAAAAAAACAAGAAAGACATATTAACATTTCCCAAGTGTTTACATACTTTATTTTGATTAAGTCTATTAAAATGTGCTTAATTCATTTATATGCTTATTTTTACTTAGATAGACATACAAATAATCGTTGTTTATCTAGAGGTTTACATTTCCAAAGAGTAATATAAAAGATTTGGTGTCACTAAGGTGTAAGCTTCAGAAAGCCAGGGACCTCATCTGTCATGATCATATTTTAACTCTAACACAATACTTGACGCATTTTAGGTGGTAAACATATGTTATCGAATGGATGAATAAATATCCCTTTATAATTCCTGAATAACAACTTCACTTTGCAATTGGCCAATTCTGTTCATCACATATATGAAAGTTTTCCAGATTTCTCCCATCTTTCTTAACCACCATTATTTTCTCAAGCACCAAGCTGTGTTTCTTTCTGTAAAAACAATTATTACGGTGTAGTGATGTTGGAAAATAAATATTTACTTGGGGGTTTAAGTCAAAGAGTTAATAATCCTTTCCTGTTTTCAAAGTCATCATTTTAGTCTTTTCCTTAGAAAAAAATCCTCTGAATAGGTTTAAGTTTTTTTATTTTTTAAATAATCCAGATTTACAGAACAGTTGTAAAGACAGCTCAGAGTTCCCATATACTTTTCACTTAGCTTCCCCTAAAAGTAACATCTTCCATAACCAAGGTAAGTTTATTGAAACTAAGATGTTAACACTGTTACAAAACCAAAAGCTACAGACTTTACTCAACTATCAAATGTTCTTTTTCGTTCCAAGATACTTCAGAGCAGCTTGTCTCTTTAGTCTCCTCCAATCTGGGAAAGTTTCTCAATCTTTCCTTGCTTTTATGATTTCAACATTTTCGAAAATATTTCAGGTATCTTCAAGCCAGGTATTTTGTAGACTGTCCCTCAATTTGGGTTTTTCTGATGTCTTCTCATGATTAGACAAAGCTCATAAATTTGGGAACAGAATACCACAGAGGTAAGCCGTTCTCAATGCATCACACTGGTGGGTATGTGATATCAACATGACTCAGGACTAGTGATGTTAACCTTGATAGCTTGATTACGGTAGTGTGGTGTCTGCCAAATCTTCCTGCCATAAAGTTAGTATTCTTTCCTTTCCAGACTCTGTTAGAAGCAAGTCATTAAGTCCAGCCCACACTCAAAGGGAGAAGAATTAAGTTCTACCTCCCAGAGGGAGAATATCAAAGAATATGTAGAACTACGTTAAAATCACTAAAGTAATGAACAAATATTTTGGTAGATAATTTGAGGCTATGCAAGTATCCTTAAAGTTTTACCCACCAATTTTAGCTCAAAATCAGACCAACTATAACATTATCAGTACTTTTTTGGCCTACAAACTTTTCCCCCATCAAACCTTATGCCTAATGCAACCCAGACTCCTAGTAAGTTAACTCATAGCCCAGTGCTCACCACTAAGTAGAACGCTGAACCCCTTTACATTCACCTCCAGATAACCTACTTACACCAAAAACATTAATGAGTGATGTAGAATTTACGTAAGACTGTATCGGTGGATGGAGTACACTCATCAAGCCTCTATATAATCCTAACTCTCCTGGCCTACTCCACTAACCAGGAATTCTCCTTTCCCCCTGTTTCCCTACATCTTCTTCAGCTTCACTGTTCAGTTTCTTTGCAGCTTCTGGGCCTTCCCAACAGGCTTCTAAATCTCCCTCCCCGAGTTAACGCCGAGCAGTGTGCCTCTATTCCAGTTCTCAATTTTGAATGCTGACACTGATTACCATGCCCAGTACCCCATTTTCCTCACCACACAAAGAAAAGACCTGTTACCAGGATCCATCCCCCTTAAAGGGCGGTTGAGAAATAATTATTTTCTTTCTCATACTAATAGATATTTAATATTCATTTCTTATAATTAGTATAAATATTAGTAATTTTACTTGATGTGAAAGGAATAAAAATCAACAAGCTGAACTTTAATCAAACTGTGTTTTCTAGTACATGGAATTATGCCCTATAAAAACATAGTTCTTCTGAAAGTCAACTATTTTTTTTTTTAATTTGAATTTCCATGTA